GCCGCCGCCTACAGCCAGTTCCTGCGGGAAAGTGGCATCGACCCCAGCCAGGTGGGCGTGCAGTCGAGCCCGGGCCCCGGGCACCTCCACAACGGGGACCTGGACCACTTCTCCAACAGTGACAACTGCCGGGAGGTGAGTGAGGCGCCGGGCAGCCCCCGCCTAGCCCCTGCCCCCCTGTGCACCTGCACCAGGCCCTCCCAAGCAGCCTCCGCACCCCCTTTCTGTCCCAGGTGCTCCTCGAGAAGCGGCGAGGGGAGGGCCTGGGCGTGGCCCTGGTGGAGTCGGGCTGGGGCTCCCTGCTGCCCACAGCCGTCATCGCCAACCTGCTGCACGGGGGGCCCGCTGAGCGCTCAGGAGCCCTCAGCATCGGGGACCGCCTGACCGCCATCAATGGGACCAGCCTGGTGGGGCTGCCTCTGGCCGCGTGCCAGGCCGCCGTCCGCGTGAGTTTCCTGGGGTGGCGGGGCCTCCACATTCCCAGGAAGGGGAACTGAGTCCCAGAGAGGTCTCTTCCCTGGCCAGGTCTCTCCAGGCCAGCCGGGAGGGACAAAGTCTAACTTTCAAGTCCTGCCCACTCGTGTGCCCTTGGGGAAACTGAGGCCTGGAGAAGGGAAGCCGCTTGTCCAGGGCACCTCCCTAGAACCAGAGCCAGGTTGGAAATGCGGGTGGCCCAGCGCCAGGGCTGGGCGGCTCGCTGTCTAATAAGAGACAGCTGATTTCTAGGGGGGTTTGTTTGTTTGAGACAAGGTCTTACTCTCTTGCCCAGGCTGGGGGGCAGTGGTGCACCTGTGGCTCACTGCAACCTTGACCTCCTGGGCTCAAGCAATTCTCCTGCCTCAGCCTCCCGAGTAGCTGGGACCACAGGTATGCACCACCACGCCAAGCTAATTGTTTTACTTTTTGTAGAGATGGGGTCTCACTATGTTGGCCAGGCTGGTCTTGAACTCCTGCCCTTAAGTGACCCACCCGCCTAATCCCACAGTGCTGGGATTACAGGCGTGAGCCACTGCGCCTGGCCATGTTTTTGAGTCTTAACCTTTGTTGTTCAGATGGGGAAACTGAGGCCCAGAGATAGGGAGGGACCTGCCCCCGTCAGAGGGATGAGGCCACAGTCCATGCAGCCTCTTACAGACGTTTGCAGCCTGCCTGGAGAGCCCGGCTGTCGGCTTGGCTTTTGGCCATAAGGAAGCGATATGGCTCGGGTCCCACAGCTTCGACCCCAAGCCCACCGGGCCCGAGTCTGTTCTCCACCACATCTGAGGGGTCTCCCAGAATTGAGCCCCTGCACTCCAGGTCTCTGGTTTATGAGAGGGTAAACTGAGGCCCAGAGGGGGCTACAGCCTGCCAGGCTGTGCGGCAGCTGAGTGAGGCCAACGGCCCCCGCCCTGCAGGAGACGAAGACGCAGACGTCGGTGACGCTCAGCATCGTCCACTGCCCGCCCGTCACCACCGCCATCATCCACCGGCCCCACACTCGCGAGCAACTGGGCTTCTGCGTGGAGGACGGCATCGTGAGGCCCCGGCCCCTGGCCCGCGGTGGGGAGGAGGGCGGCCCTGAGCACGGCCCCTGAGCAGCCCCCACCTCTTTCCCATTCCCCGCTTTCCTCCCCCAGATCTGCAGCCTTCTCCGCGGCGGCATCGCCGAGCGCGGGGGCATCCGCGTGGGCCACCGCATCATTGAGATCAATGGGCAGAGCGTGGTGGCCACGCCACACGCCCGCATCATCGAGCTGCTCACTGAGGCCTACGGCGAGGTGTGCAGGTGGTGGGTGGTGGCCAGGGGCGCCCCCACGTCCCCGGCAAGCCCAGGCCTGCCCTGAACCCCATTCTGCCTCCACTCCCCAGGTACATATCAAGACGATGCCAGCCGCCACATACCGCCTCCTTACAGGCCAGGAGCAGCCCGTGTACCTGTGACCACCGTGTCCCTCGCCTGCCACTGTGCCTTCGCCTCCATGGCCCCGGAGCCCCATCCTGGGCCTGCCTTGGCTGGCCAGGACCCCAGCGGTTCTTGGTCCTGTATGATTTCCTGATATAAAAACAGTAAAAGCTTATGCAAGCGGCAAAGTCTCGGATCAGGGTCTACGAGACCGAGGAAGGTGAGCCCGGGGCTTGGCCCTCTCACCACCTTATCCTTCCCGGAAGCCACTAGAAGCCGGCGCTGTGAAAATACTCTGTTTATTAAAGACCAGGCGGAGGGAGGCGGGGTTGCGGGTTCTGTATGGGAAACTGAGTCCCAGTCCCAGGGAGGGAGAAGGAGGACGGACCGGCTGGCAGCCTGGGAGAGGTCACAGGTCCGTGGCCGGACCCCAGTCGTAGCCTTCTTCATCGGAGGACTCCGCATCGCGGACTCGTGTAAACTTTTTCTTCAGGGCTTCCCGTTCATAGGTTCTGGGGATCAGGAAATAGAATAGATGCTGTGGGTGGGGAGCGTGTGAGCTTTCCCACTGTAAACTGAGGCTGACTGTGCTAGGCACAGTGGGTGTGGGCAGAGATAAGCACATCTGGGCATTCATGGGTAGCGCCTTGTTAACAAACTCCTATGCATCCCTCAAAGCCCCAGCTTCAATGTCCTGCCCTTCAAGAAGCCTTCCTAGCTCTCCCAGGAAGTGGATTCCTACTCCCTTGGCCATGATTATATGGGGCTTAGAGAGGCTTTGGCAGGCTCTGTCTTCCCAACTAGGCTAGGGGCACATGAAGGCATAGCTTGGATATAGATCTCTTTATTAACCGCAGAGTCTGAGTCCCAAGGGAAGGGTTGAGGGGCCCCCAGTCTGGAATATGTGGTTCTTACCGCACACTGTCCTGTCGCCACTGACCCTGGGGATGGCTGCTGTCCACCTTGGAGGAGAGGGAGAGAGGAGCTTCAAAATTCCCCCCAGAGCATGGTAAGTCGAGATCAATAACCACCTCCATCCCATCCCCCACGGTGGCCGGGGCCATGCTGCCCAATTGCTAACCCCATGACAAGTCTGCAGGTCATCCCCAAATATAAATGAGAAAACAGGCTGGGATAGGGGAAGGCCTTAGCTGAGACCTTCTAGCCTGTCAGCAAAAGGGGAATTGGGTTTCTCATCTGTGCAGGTCCTCATAGGGCCACTGCCATGAGTTCATGTATGTAAAGGACTTAGTATAGTGGCTGCTCCATATGCGGCTGCCATGGACAGCTGAACAGGTTGGGTACTGCACAACCCTAGGAAAATCATTCTAATCAGAGATGTCATCGATTCATAGATTTTTACATTGACCCAGAGAGGGTGTGGAAGAAGATGCTGAGGCATATACACTAAGAGCTACATACACCTTTGTTAAACACCCAACTACAGCTGGGTGCCGTGGTTCACGCCTGTAATCCCAGCACTTTGGGATGCCAAGGCAGGAGGATCACTTGAGCCCAGGAGTTAGAGACCAGCCTGGGCAACATAGCAAGACCACATCTCTGCAAAAAGTGAAAAAAATTAGCTGGGCGGCCGGGCGCGGTGGCTCACGCCTGTAATCCCAGCACTTTGGGAGGCCAAGGCGGGCGGATCACGAGGTCAGGAGATCGAGACCATCCTGGCTAACACGGTGAAACCCCGTCTCTACTAAAAATGCAAAAAATTAGCTG